ATGTTGGTTGCTCGTGTGCACCACATCGGCAAGATATCCAGTTCAGGAAGTCTGGGTGCCGGCGCCATGGACACATTGGTCAGCCCCGGGATTGCGTAGTGGACCAAATCACAGAACCTTGGATCAGGCCACTGCAAGAGTTGTAATAATAATATCGACGGCACGAAGAAGAACCCAGACCATATGGGTTCTACAGAGGTGGACGGTGTTGAGCTGCACATGACAATACGGCTCCCAAATGTTGAGTTCAAAAACTGGAACCACATGTTAGAAGCTGCTAGAACATGGGTTGCCAGCTCCGAGGCGCGTCCGTGTGCTGTTGGCTTGCCGGAGTTGCTGGCTGCCGTTGCTGCCTGGCGTGTGGCGTGCCGGCATCAGCATCAGTATAAGTACCACTGGATCACGGCACCACAACCATCATTGCCACAACAAGTGGTACTTAAATCAATTGCGCATATTTATGCAGCACCAACGTTTCGAGCATGCCTGATGGGCTTGATGACGCAGTTGTGCTCGTGGGCAAGGTATGTGAAACAGCGGATCTGCCCTGATCACATCGCAGCCACCGCAACATCTTGGCTACATCTCTGCCAAGCAAAGCTGAAGCTGCAAGCATGCCTTATGCACGAGAAAGCTTGTTGACTCGCAAGTGCAGAGTTGAGGCGTATGCAGAGCTCAGCACGCCTCTATGAGACCCTCGGCATCATAGGGCTCATCCAATCTTGGTCGCATGCTCTCGGCTGCCCATAGGAAGACAAGGCTGGTTGCCAAATGCCACCTTGACTGTGCTGACATCCTAGTCCCAAACTAACCTCTGTTAGCCAGATTCGTCATGTGAACAAAGCTGCACGCTCTGCGCAGATTTTTGTCACAACTGGAGCTGTCTCACTGCGATTGCATGTGCTCAGCGCGGGAAGGTCGGGAACATGCTGAAGCCCATCCTGAGCTGCGACAAAACATTGCAAAGGCAGACAAACGTCTTTTGCGTAGTGCTTGTGGCGGCTGGGATCAAGAGATCTGCGGGCAACAGGACAGCACAGCCAAATATCACATGTGCAAAGCTCCGCTGCCGAAAGATATCTGGACTGCGAGCGGCAGATGGTGAAGACAGTAAACAAAGCCTACAAGCCGAGTTTCGGCGTTTGGAACATTGGCTGGAAGGTTATCTTCTTGGCTGTGGTGGTCGTTGTGGTTGTTGTGGTAACCGTCGTGGTCGGCATTGCAAACGGGCACTCAACACCATCTGGATAGGTGGAGGTAAAGTTGTTGGACATGCAGCAAGAGCATGCGCATGTTTCGGCCGCTGCATCATCTGGAAGTCCATTGTACCACTTGTTGGAGAACACTGCCGTTCCCGGCTGTAGATAGACCTCGGTGCATTCCCGGGCTGCTGGTGCTGCACCGTGGTACTGAAGCTCCTCAGCTGCGCAGGCTGCCTAGTGACTTTTTTGCATCTAGCCTACAACGCCTCGGCTGGGAATAGCTCTCAAGATATTCAGCCGCAACAGCAATTGTTTGAACCTAGTGGATCTGGTGTATTCTAATTGCTCGTGTGCAACGCATGTTGGCAAGCCTGAGTCGGCGCTTCATGACGCTGCTGGCCGAGCAGAAGTCTAATCCCAGCGGTCTTGGAATGCTAAGCCAAGGAGCCACGGGCTGTGTGCTGAAGGTCTTTGCCTGCCACCAAAGCTCACATCCTCTCACACACATGTCCACACCGAAGCCAGGGATGGGCCAGGCGCCTTGCACGCATCAATGGCAGCCTCAAGCTCATTGTCCTGGCTTTGCAGGGTAGGACCAAGGATGCTGGAATTCTTCTGCTTAACAACGCTGCCACAGGCGATCCCTGCCTCTAGCAAGAGTGCTGACAGGAGACACTCAATGCGAAGCACAGCTCTCCATTCCGCCTGTGGCTGTGGGAGCATCAGCCCACGGACTCAGAGGCACTGCGTTCTTGATATGTGCTCTGCCGCATTCGGCCTTGGACGTGGCTTCGCTCTCCTCGGCCAGTGTGACCACAGAGGAGTACAGCTCGGCCTGCCGGGGCTGATTTTGGTATCCTCAGGCTGTTTTTATGTTCGCGCGACCTCGCCGCACAATCATTGGAAGCCTTCCCAACCCCACCACCTCTATACTGTCTGTGCCTTCTCGCCATGGCACTCTGTGTACTTGAGGCAGGTGTACTCCTTATGCAGGCTGCAAGCGCTGTCCTCGAACGTCGCCTCACACAGAAAGCAGCAGGAGTTAAGAGAAACCTAATACCTAGTATTAGGAGGGGCATACCACATGGACCCAAGCAGCTCGCCTGCTTCATGTCGCAAGCGATCTTCTTGTCATGGTACTCGCATATCTTCTCGTGGCAAAGTTCCTCGTTCTTGAACGGGGTATTAGTTGCATTTTCGCACTTGAGCTTCTTGTCCAACAGCGCGTCGTATGTGTCAGTGTAGAACCTCGGATGCACTTGAGGTTGGGTCCCTCCTTGAAGACAACATGTAAAGGATGTGCACATCAAGGCCTACCCGCTTAAGGTCCATGGTCTTCTTGTTGCTAATGTGTTTGTGGACAAACGCATGATTCTTCTGGCTAGGTCTTCAGGCAGGTGGCTTTTCCATGTCCAGCAGGTAGTTGCCAATGGTTGGAGTAGGCGTGCCCTCTGACATCTCGCAGGTGCTTGCGGGATTGGGAAACACCTGAGTCTGGCTGAACGTGCTGAAGCCACCTTCTCCAGAGCTAAGGAATTCATTCGAGGGGTTGCCAAAAGCGAGATATTAAGGTCCGAATCTTGTCCTGGTTTGCCCCTCAAATCACTGAATTATACAGAGCTATAAGCTGCCGGCTGATCCTTGTATGAGAGCCCGTGCTCAGGCCCAACGGTGGCACAAGGATGGGATTTGCGCACTCATCTTCCCTTGATACAGGCAGGGGGCCCGTGCTGCCTCATATGCATCGCAAATAGCCTTCTTCTCGTTCTCCCAGATTCGGCGCGCGACAATGCAGGCAGTGTCATAGTCGGTCCATATAGAATCCTGACTGCGCTTATGACAGGCTTGGTGGTAGCTGTGTATGTGTGTGTGACCCTTTTCTCAGCAAAAACGGTCAAGGTTTGGCTTCCACGGTCCTCGTCAGTGCGGCACATCGAGTGCTGAGTTGAGAGCGACTTCAGCCCCTCGCTGTAGTCCTCAGCTACGTGGCCAAGCAAGAATGCCTTGACTTGATGCACTGGTTGGAAAACCAATCTCTGCATCATGACGTAGCAGAGAATGCAAGACACGGCGCCGGCAGCTGACAAACCAGAACGTGCTTGCAGAATTTGATGAGTTAGGCTTACCTATATGCTGCCACCGGTGCTGAGCACTGAAGGAGGCACCCGCCAAAATGCTTCACCACTTCTTGTCAAGCTGCGGTGTCATTGGGATGGGTGCATGTGCTGAAATTTCCCCAAGCCTGCACCGATTTTACATGCACTACAGGTGTACAGCTTGCAGAAGTTCCCCGCCAATCTCCGCACGGTGTAGTAAGTGCAGCCCAGGCTGAGTGCTAGCAACTCAAGCCTACTGTGCTTTCCCAGTTGGCGGGGGAAGAGATGGGGAAGCCGATGACTTCCAGCCTCATCGAGGTCCTCCTGGGTCTGATTTGTGCGGACGAGGATGTTATTCTTCCTCAGTCAAGCAGCTTCAAGAGGGCAGTTGGATTTCATTAAAAACACTTCCCGCCAGTGGATTGATCTAGTCTTATGGTTGAGGCGGACTAGCGTACCAAGGGCGTCGCGAGTCTTTGCTCAGCAACCAAGCCAAGTTGCATTGTCTTTTCCAAGAGCTCTGAGATCTCATTCAGGAAGACGGTCCTGAGCTAACAAACGGTGCAATTCTTGATTTTGGGGTCCTACAAAGTCTTGATTTTAACAAAGTTCCTAGCATGAATGGGTGGTGATGCGTAACTCCCTTTTGAGAGAAGCATCAGGTTCGTGGCATCCACTGCGCTTCCATCCTTGGAGATTCTCTTCTGCGCCATACCCAGGATTGAAGACTCGATGTTGTTCAGGGTATTTGCCTCTGGCGTAGTGAGTTTCCTCGGCGTGGCGAGGCGAGCCAAGATTGCAAGCCATCCATGGCAGGTGTGCAAAAACCATGCCTTGCCAAGCCACATTCGCCTGGCCATCTTCTCCTCGATGAGCCTCACCCTTGGCTGGTCTTTCTTAGGACATCTCCCTGTAGCATTACGATGCTTAGTTACTAACTTGGGGAGGCAGAACCCCTAAGAACTCTGCTTTCTACACTCCTTTTTCATTGCTGATAAGAGGCTGTGACGAAAGAGTCGCTGCCTGCACCAAAGGGAGAAAGATCGGAAGAAGGCGAATGAGCTGCATTGTCCTTCCGCGACAAGTTTGCCCCCACCCCGCAACACGTTGAAACCCACAGGCTGACGGTCCTGGCTGCCTGGGAAAGGCAAGGCGCTGGGAGGTATACTGGCTTTTGCACAGCGGTGCAAAGCTCAAACCCCTGCACGCTTGAGCCCAAAGAGAGCCCTGGACCATGCAAATTCAGAATCTGGCGACTCCAGGAAGTCTGTGCATATCACGAAGTGCCCTGAAGTCACGGCATGTCACTGCACAGCTTTGTGCTTCGAATCCCCAAGCTCTGGACTTCTTGCCCATGTTGGGACTCTTGCCAGGATCAGCAGACCTGGGACCTGTGATCGGAGTTCATCCAGCAAACTACAACGGCATAGACTCTTGCAGCCCCCACCTGGTTGGGAGCAGGCGTGGAGAATCGTTGGAGTGGACAGACATAAACATCTGCTCTTCAGTGCCAGCTGTTGCTGCACTTGAGGCACAGAAGCACACTTGCGGCGGCTCGGACAGTCTTGAGCATTTATCATCATCTATCCATGCATGCTAGCTGCGCTGAAAATAGCTCCCATCAGGCTATCCTATTGCAATAAAATGCAATAAATAAAGCAGTGGATAGGGCGTTAGGATCCGACCACGTTCACTTCTTGGCCTCATGGTCAACCAGCCTCTCCAGGAGCATGTCTGAACGGTCCTGGCAACATCTGGTCTTCGACTCTTTCGTTGAGGCGATGGGAAGCCGAGCTCGCAGCCATTGAGTCCATGTCCAGGATGTCAACCCAAGCAGAGCCGCCTGCATCAACCAAGACAGTAGAACCATGCTGTCACGTCCCTGCTACGACTATTGCAAGCCTGGCTTCTGCCCGGAATACCACTGTATGCCCCAGCCATCTGCATCTACCAGTTAACAAGCTTCCGCGCCTAACTTACATACCCTTGCAGAAGGGACGCCTGCGCCGAGCAGAGCGTGGTCTGGGTAATCATGCCATGACACGCCGTCTGCTAGAACCAGCACCACGCGCATTGTTCCTGCACGCTTTCAGTCTCTGTGAGTCTGTGAGCAAGCACATTGAGAACGCAGCTTACCCTGCTGTTAATGTTAAGCGTGGATACCTTTGCAAGTTTCTGAGCGAGAAACCCCTTGCGCCTGTCAGCTGAGAAGGGGCAAAGAACTGCTCCCAGCCATCCCAGGGAGTGTGGACGTTGAGGCAATGTAGGCCTGGGTTTGCACGAGTGGCGGATCCTAGATATGATATGCGAGCAAGGTTCACGCAACTTCCGCATCTCGTCTCTTCCATCGGCATTGCCCAAGGCACGGACAAATTAATGTACATGAATGGCCAATAACCTCAAGAGGTCCAGTGCCACCCGGAAGAAAAGACTGGCACTCATCCCTGGAGCCAGCTCGGACTCAGCTGAGATCCCGTCTCTTGGAGCAATGAAGGGCACAGCCTTGAACACAGCTAATAATGCTAATGCGCTGAGTGAGAGCTGCTGACAGAATCCCACTGCAGTGCTAGGAAAACCCAGCTGCAACTAGCCTTGTCGAAGTCTTCCAGGGCCTTCAGCGGCAGTCGAACGACCTTCTCGTAGGTGGAGCACGCAGGTTTCAAGTCATACGTGCCCGTTTGATATCTTCACAAGGAGACGGATAGTATGTGGTTCTGACCATCAGCAAACCTTGTAGACGAAGCAAGGGGAGAAGGGCCCGAAGCGACGTTACCATGATGCGCGGATGTTCTCACTTCAGTGGATTGACTTATTCATTCCTTCAGATGTGCATTTCTCTGCAACACACTTTCACAAGGATGAAAGAGTCGCGTGGTGGCATGTCCTCCAGCCTCGATTCCAGACATCGCCTTGTGCTCGAGTCCAGGTACGGGTAAGAGAGGATGGTATGACCTCAGCCATCAAATGCTGACAAAGCACAGCAAAACCGGCGGGGTCACAAAAGAGTGAGGGCTCTGTGGGACTGAAGCGAAGCCTACAAGACTGAGAGCATCGCACGAAACGACCTAAGAATGACGGATGCCAATGTCGCGATCCCAGGAGCGCCGAGTCTACAAGCAACAGGCCTCCATTCTCCATATTGCATTGACTGTGCAATCTTAAGCCTGCCATTTCTATGCGTCTATCATGACTCGTTTCGTTTTCTTGCTGGAGCGGTTTTTCGAGAGTGCCACTGCTGCTGTTGTTGCGGCCTCCTCCTCTTCTTGCTTCCCTGTGACACACTACAGGAACAACACCACCAACAACAGCACCAGCGCCACCCACCGCTGTGTGTATGGACACCAACTATGACTAAGCATTTTTGTGAGGATCCAGCTTATCTCCTCCTTTTGCCCCCCAAAACCGACTCACGCCAGCCTCTCATCTCTGTCGACCCTGAGGCACAGATGTGGTAGAAGCTCCTGCTTCGTCGGTAGGCACTTCTTCTTCTACTGCTACTACCACAACACCGCAACCACCATTACGACCACAACCGTCAGCATTAGCAGCTGCAATTCGTTGAAGTTTGCCTCGCTCTTTCTGCTTCGGCCCGCTGCTCCTTTGGCTGTTCCCTGATGTTCACTTGGTGACTTGTTTCGCAGTATCCCGCCAGCGCACAACCAATCCAGACGCAGGCGGCGACACCTTGAAGAATCGAAGCTGCTCGCGTAGCATGTCTCTCCGACGCACCTGCATCTTGAATAAAATACAACCGTTCTTGAGGGCAGCACGTGCTTCCAACGATGCTTCCGCGGCAGTGGGCACAGTCACATGCCTTTCCACAGACGCAGTCAAGAGTTTTGATCAAGCAGCATTCTGCCGCAGGGTCCTCCCAGTCTTCATCATCCCAGTCTTCCTCGTCATCTTCCTCCAAATGGGAAGATCAACAAGCAAATCGGCAAGAGCATGTCGAGTGAACATCTTGTGGCACAAAACGCTGTGTCGCTGGCTGTATTGGGGGGGATACGAAAGAAGAGCTTCTGATGCATGAAGCCCGAGGAAGGAGCAAACGCAAAGCCCTCAGCCGGGAAAAGAAGCTTGCAGCAAGGTCTTAGCGTCTGGTCCTCCCACTCCTCATCATCCTGAGCAGCTCCATTGCATCTTCAGCCAAAGGGCTCTGTCTACTTGGCCCAAGATCTTACAAAACCACCTGCGTCTCATTTTGCCACAGAGCCATCTGCGCTGCTTGTACAACCCTGACCCTGTCTTCCCCAACTTCGAGCGCCCTGCTTCCTCACTGTAGTCAATCAATCCCAGCGCCGAGTCAATCTCAGCCTTCCTGGGTTCATTGCAACGGCAAACACCCTGACATCCGGTGATACGCAGCAGGGTATACCATCGGCTGCGCATGTAGGCAGACCCTTCATGGTTCTGATGACCCGAGAGGGAATGCAGACCAGGCTCTTGCAGGGCTCAACATACCTGGGTGCTGAATCGGCCAACATGTGCAACATACACCACAAGTACACTTGCTGGCGGCTGATGGCTTTATCAGAAGAAGCATCCTGTATTGGGATGTGTTGTGAGGGTGTTTTTTGGGGATTCACGGGGATTATCATCTTGAGGAACACCTACATAAAGCCATCCAGTTCCTGGACCTTCCCAGCCAAGCTGCCCTCGGGTTGTTTTCAGCAGCTCCACAATCTCCTGGCATGAAAAGACTTTGTGAACAAGCGGCAGGAGCCCTAAAGCACTTGTGAGTATTCTGAGGCACCACCACCACCACCGCCACTCAGGACAGAAACTGTAAAGATATCGAACTTGCCGTCAGTGCTGTTATGGCGCTTGCGAGGCCCAGTTTCCAAATAGTTCGGTATAGGGTAGAGCATGTGGGGGCCCTAGCTGGTCAGTAGCCTGTCCGAATTCCATCTCATTACCCCAACTAAATCATGACTATACTATGAAGCTGAGCAACTAATTACAGAAAACTCATCGGTTTGCATGTTGAGGCAAGGTGATGCAGAGACACTTACCCTCTCAATGCGCCTGCGCAGCACGGCCACCCAGCTGGGCATCTTCCAAGAAAGTATACACAACACCTGTGATCAGGCTCTCATGTCTTTGACCGGATACGTCAAAACAAGGTGGGCTTGTACATCATGGATGATGCAACCCTCCACGACATCATGTTTGACTTTGGGGCTGCTGAAGTTGCAAACGTACATGATCGGTTTGCAGCAGGGCCGCGTGGAAACCGCGGGTTGTTCCTTGGCAGTCGTTTAAAAGCTTGGGACAATTTGTGCTGGTCAAAATGTCCGTCCAATCTGGTGGCACTAGATGGCCAGCGTTTTCATGACTCGTAGAGTCTGCCCTGCTGAGCTGATGTCTGCAAAGCGACAGCTTCAAACAAGTGCAGCAACCGCCAAGATGCGGCCAGGCAGAGCCAGCCCATGCCAAGCAACAATGGCCAAGTCAAAACCATCACATACATCTCTTGTGTTTATGCCTACTTCAAACAGCCATTCCCGTCGCACGCGTTTCTGGTGGATATGCTGCTCAAGCACGCAGTGCAATGTTCAATGTCTACATCATGACAGTACCAGGCAAACAGGATGGTAACCAGTCAGTCAAATGCTTGCGGCCGTGTGGCGTCTCTTGTGGCTCCAAAGCCCCCAGGCGGCGTACGTACTCTGCTGCGTTGCGGGCAACATCGTAGTTGATCAAGATCCTTGTCACATGCCTCCCTCCAATCATTCCAGCAACAACCCGGCTCAAACAGCGGTAGCATTGCATTGACAAGTGCAAATGCAACTCAAAACAAAAGGCTCTTGGCGCAAGCAAGACGCTGGCAGCTTCCCGGCGTCCATGGTAGCGTTCCTCAGTGGCGTCTTATGCCAAAAGGGAGCAGTTCGGGCATCACCGGCCTTCACTGAGCTACAGCCTACTCGTTTGTACGGCTCATGGAACATGCTGAGATGACAGCTACAGTAGAAAAAGCTGATCGGGTGTGGCAAGCGGTGAAACCATCAGAGGCCTCGACCCCTGCTTGCCTGCAATCATGCAGATAGGCCCAGTAAGACAAAAAGCCAAGGTCTATCTAAGAATCTGCATACTGCACAGCACACTGAGTTCGCACAGCTGTCCCGCCTTTTCATCTGCCACCACGACCTTTGGCGTCTTCACTTGCAATGCGAAGTTGAAGCAGACTGCATGGAATCACACTACATATCTCTCCAATATCCCCCATCATATAGTAGTCTCCATTTTCTTTTCCATTGTCCCAATATAACCCCAATACATGTGCTGGCAAGATGCCGTCACTTTGGGAAAAGCTCCTCTCCTGCAGTGACAGAGCCAGCTATGTAAGCAGCTGGAAGCTGCTGACTAGCTGGCATGGAGTTTACATGGGGGTTTTAGAGATAATGGAAAAGAAAACTACTGCAATTATCTTGAGCTTATATTGGGGATATATAGGGGTTATATAAGAGTTATGTAAGTTCTGTTTCTCGTAGCAATAAGCTGTGACACTTGGGCCTGTGAGTAGTGTTTTTTTTTTTAATGGTTGAACCTAGCAAGATAATATTTCTCATATGAAATACTAGACTATACCCCAAAAGGAGGATATAATCTTACTCTATATTGGGTACCATAGCATTATTATTATAACATTCTACTCAAGGGGGGCGCTCGACAATCAAGCCATTGCAATCTGGAAGTCCTGGTACCACAAGCTTTGCACCTTGGAAGCAATCAGATCGCATGAGCTGCATGGTGATGCGGTGCAGTGGCAACACATCGTATGTTTAGCAAGCTGCGGATGCTCCTGAGAATTTTAAAGGCATGCTTGCTGCCTACTTTCTAGTTAAGCTAAAAAGTTGGAACTCCACGCACAAGCCATCAAGGTTCTGGCGCTCAATGCCCCCTCTCTGATGCAGTTACAGTTGGTTACTGCAATCCAGGCTGAGAATGGCCGAGCAGCTCTTCTGACAGCCAGTCGTTGATGAGGGTGCAACGCCCGCAGGCCCAGTCATGTGTCCAACTAGCAGGCGGAAGACACATGCAAGATGCAACATCTCGAGTATGTGCGTAGACGGTGCAAAACGGCCTGCTCATCTCAGGGTCCAGCTTCTCGCTCAGTGGAGCATCTGCGCACGTCAGGGATGAGGATATGTACTCACATCAGCCGTTTCGCCGTCAAAAAACTCAGAAGGAACCACACTTTGCCGGCCCTAGTCACAACATGTCACAACCAAAGCACGCGGTCCATTGAAAGCTCTACCCTTCGGGCGTTTCCCGTCAACTTGAGGGAAGCACCTGTCATTTGCTGATGGGTGTCTCCCCATGGCACATGCTCCCCAGCCCCAGCAAGCAAGGCATATTTGTTAGGCTGCATTCTGGGGAGCGATGTCTGCTGGATTTGAGACGTCAGCTTGCACTCCATCAAGAAGCAGCACTCGCCTCCTGCTGTGTCAGTCGTCACCGCAGCTTCCACGACCTCGACACGTGCTACTTTTCTCTGTGATGTTCGCGGGGGAATTTGCAGCCCTGCTGTCACGTCACTCTCTTTGCACTGTTTCCCAGCAGAAGATTAACCATGTCTGGCCGACTCAGCCAGTGAGGATGTGGAAGCTCACGCTAACTTGACAAGATCATTTCCCCAGCTCGCAATGAACCGACATCAAAGCCCTAGACATGCGCAATGGCGGCTTGGAAAGGTTTGCCTTGTTGCGCTCTGCGCGATTCCGGGCTGCGGCAGCCAATGCCTGGAACAACCCCAAGCCCTACCCAAAACGCCCTTCACATGCCTCTAACGAGTCTATGAGCCCTGCCAAACTCCGAACACTTGAGCTCTCACAGATTCGTCTGCTGGCGCCTTGCGGCGGCTCCGGTCGACAACCGTCGTGGCCTGTTGCTTCAGAGCCGAAGGCAGCAAACATGCGCCCAAATTCTCACACAAAAAGAGGGGGGATCATTTTTAGAGTATGTAGTTGGCCTGGCCCGCAGAATCTGGGACGTGGAGCAGGCAATGAGGGCCACGGAGCAGTCTTGCCAAGGTCCTCATAAATGGCGTAATAGTTTACGAAACGACAAAGTTCCAATTTTTCTGGGGTGCGTGTCTCAAATATATGCATGATATTGCATAATTTCGTACTTTTGCAAAACCACATTTTGGAAAACAATGACAATGTTTTTATTGAAGAACTCAAAATTATCAAGTATTTACCGTCCCTCAATCGAGGTGCCGAGCATTGTCTATGACACAAGACCCTCACTCTTCCCGATTGAATAAGAGTTCTCTTGGCAGAATCAGGAATTCGCCCAGTACTTCACTAGAAGCCAAGCAATCCTGTCCCAACAAGCACTGCCTGCGCTTGTGTTGCTGCATTGGCGAACACAATTGCTGAACCTTGGATGCGGGCCAACCAGCAAAACGACATGACCAGATTTTGTGTTCAACTTCGCTCGCTTTCCAAAGTCTTCCAAGGTGGTAGGGGTCAAGCCGGAATCTGCAGGTAGACGATCCAGGAGCTGTTGCAAACGCTCCTCCTGATGCCGCATGGTACGACTGACGTTTGTGTATCAGATTTTGGTTCCATGCCAATAACAAAATTGCCAGGACGATGCCTACACTGATTTGGACCGCCACTTTCCAAGTGAATGAAACTCAAGCAAGTTCAGCGAGAGGCACCTTGGAGTCGTAGTCCTCGCCGCCAACGACTCCAAATTGATGAACGGCTTTGCGCACGGCCTTCACTTCCGGAGGCACCTGCGCAAATCTGGGCTTTGCCTTCAGCAAGGGCTTGAAGCTGCTGTTCTCCGCGCTGTCCTCTGCACCGCTCTTCTCAGGACTCGAAGTTTTTCGGCGCTTCCGTGTGCGGGGGGTACCTTTGCCTGCACAACACGCACATGTTGTTAAACTGAGCCACCTTGCCAAACCAGCCAAGCATGCTTGGGGGCAGCGACTGCTGCTCAAAGAATAGTCTGCTGTCCAACCCAGCTCATGCGACCCTGCCTCCGCTTCCATGCAGACGCTTGGATCCCGCCCACGTGCGCTCTGGGGGCATTGTGCCGTCTTCAGCTTGTCTGTCTCGAACTCGTATGTAGATTTCTTCGCACATAACTGGAACGTAGCTGGCTGAAGAATTCAACCGGAAAAGGCATGTCTGAACTCCTGTCATCATTCCCGGTATTCTGAATGGTAACGACGGTGCGGGAACGCCAGACTTGTTATCAACGTTCGCTTGCTTCTGCTCAACACAAGCGCCTTGTTGGCACTGTATGTGCCCCACTGGTTGAGCCAGGACATTGTAAGACGACCTGTAATGGCCAAAAGGAAAGCCGTGCTTATAATGAGACCAAGCCTAAACCGGCAGAAATCACAACCGTTCAAGGCCCAAGGATAATGAATTGTTTCCACCTTGGCGCCTAACTCGTGATGGCATTGCTCCGCCTGCTGATTTTAGAGACCTCATGTGAGGCAGGAAGCATGCAGCTGATCCAAGGTGCTTGTGACAGATTATGATCATCCGAGCACTTTTTTAGCACGAGATCATGTGCAGGGTGGATACAGAACATCCATGAAATTCTTCACCAGGCGCTGTGGGTGCTTGCGCGATCCCTTTTTGAATTGCGTCTGTACACATACACACGTGAGCTTGTTGCCGCCTTCAAAAACGAGACCGCAAATCTGTTTGCTTTTGGGTGCTTTGTAACTGTGCTTGTGACACTCCTTGCCTGGGGTGCCGCCTCCCCATCCACTCACTTCGAATTTCCGCTTCTTGCTGGTTGTGAAAGTCAGACTGCGGGCCAGGTATTTGTGAGTCTCGACCTGCTCAACCTTCACAATGGCCTCGTCTAAATCTAGGACAAAATATTTCTTGTCGACGCCTCCAAAGCCGCCATAGGTTTGGTAGATACCGCTGTGCAATTCAAACTCGATTCTATCAACGGACTCTCCAGTCACTGCCTTGATGCGCTTCACACATCCCTTGACATTCTGATCTTCCTGTCTGGATCGCTTCCTTGATGAGCTACTGTCGCTCTGCTCCTCATGCTTACGCGAATCAGGCGGAGGTGCGGCTGGCGGCTCCGTGAACACCCACGGCTCCGTGAACACCCACTCCGGCACCTCAGTGCTGTCGGCTGGAGCCCCAAAAGGCACGCAAAAGTCTTCAAACACCTATCTACCAAAAACAAACCTGCTAAATGCAGGATCTGGCGCCCAGCCTGCTGCCTCGCCTTTGCGGCAGCATCGCCATCCGCGGTCACGAATGTTTGCAAGTTCGACCATATCACCACATTCAACGCATAGGTTCATTCCATCGTCGGGCAGGTTAGGCTTATAAGCCTGTTTAACATTCGCCAGATCGTAGACCCAAGGATCATTGTCTTTCACCGCCTCCGCGCCTCAGGAGCTTCAATCAGACATATGCGCATAAATAGACTTCTGAGTGAAGTGCAACCCATGGAACCAGCACCGAGATGTACTTTCCTCTCTTCTCCCAGCAGTTCATAATGAAGATGGCTATTGGAAAGCCGCGACACGAACAAACAACTGTTTGCATGCGTGCGTATACGGGTCCAATATGTATATCACCTGTTCAGGAGCGGGCCTCTAGAAGTATTCTTGTCTGAGAGTTAGGATGCATAGGTGTCACTCACATAAGGCTGCGTCTGAGATCTATGCAGTTACAAATCATCACGTTACTGTAGGGGGGTAGATTGGCATCTCAAAGCTGGACACGAACCCTAAAACCCTAAATAGTAGCTTCCATTCTCCCTATATCATCCCTATATAAACCCCTATATAACCCCAATATAACCCCTATTATCCCTGTAGTTTCCATTTGCTTTTCCACTATCCCAACATAACCCATATATATTATCTCAGTTTCCATTATCATTTCCCTTATCGAGCCCTCGCTCTGCCGGCCTGGCGAGCGGGAAGAGTCTGGGAGTTCATGTTCCGCGTCGGCGGCACTGCCGCTGGCCTTCAGCAATCCTGGGTTGCTGTTAAGGGACTTAGTTCAAGTTACTATATTGGGGAAGCCATGCTAGTTAATATTGATGCCCATTATGGCAGCTTAATCTAAGTTCCCGAACAGCGACCCAGAATCTCTCATGATCGTCAAGGACCTGCCACAAAATGTCTTCAGGATTGAGCAGGGCAGTGATCTCCCCGCGAGCCACATTCAAAGCTGTGACTTTGCAGCTCGTCCTGCTGCGCACCTCCTGTAAGAGCTTTTTTACTGGCTCCTTCCCCTCAATGGGGACTCGGATGATCTTTTTATCTGGGAGCTCTACATCCAGCCGAAGGGGTGGCTCGCCCATTCTTTGCGCGGAGCGTCTGCAGCGAGGATCCTATACTGCTCCTTTGCCAAGGTGAGGGGTAACTGTCATCAAGTGTCCCCGAGACCAGTCCACAGACTACTTAATCTGGCTAACTACGGTAAATTGCTAATGATGGCTGGTCGAACGAAATCTGTGCAGGCGGTTTTGAGCCAGACCGCACTTCCCCCACAAGCGATGCTGAGCTGTGTCAGGCTTCTAATTAGCCTGCGGAGGCCAAAAACTGCGTCCATTTGCTTCTCAACCCCAATTTTGACACTTGGATAAGGTAGCTGTTTCTTGACATGACGCACGCGGCAATGCCAACTAAATCAAGCTACTTACCCACGAGGACATAAACAAAGTCGAGCAAACTTGCAGGCATATGCGAAACTGTGCACCGCCTGACTGAGTCTACAGCTCTCGCAGCATACACCGCTATTCATCACAAAGGCTCATGCATAATTTCTTTGGACTTCAAGGCCGCAAACAGATAATTCATGAGTACATGATAGAACATGGGACCTTTGCCGCGTCCAGAATTCCTCCACTAACAGGTTCTGAGAACGATCCCACATCCGATGCACTTCGCTTCATGTTCAGCCCGCACTGTGACGACATGGAAAGAATGCAACTGGGAGGTTTCACAGTACGGAATATGAAGAATGGAAAGGAACATGTAACCTATTCAAGGTCGCCGTTCTGCGACAGCTAGTGACCAGCAAGCCCTGCGGCATTGCCATCCTGTTTTTCGTGACGCAGGGATCGGCTGTGCGTTGCAGCCGCAGAGGTCGAGCGCCAGCCTGCAGGTCGCCCGAGGATAGCAGCAAGGATTACTATGCCTTTCTAGCCGTCCACCCTTAGCAGAAAGCCACCGTGAACCAAAATGAATGCTAGCTGCTAGATCTGCTAGATCTGTTATTGCAAGCAAGCAAATTTCAGCGATGCTTGCACAACTTGACTCACAGCAGTTGCACGGCCATTTTGTCCCTGGAGCTGCAGCAACGAAGCCAACACTCGCTGCTCCACTGTTGGCCAAAGATCTTCTGGAAGGTACCTGCCGGTTTGCGCTTGGCGATTCTAGCTTCATTTTTTGATGTGTGTTGCCTGTTGAAGCGTGGCAATCTTGATCGGGAGATAGTTACCACCTGCGACATGGTAGTTTCCCAAAGAAGGGGGACCCTAGTACAGCCCCCAAAATACAATACACTCCTTATCATAGATACAAAAGGGACCCCCAACAAGGTACCCTAATTTCTGGAAGAACCCTACGTTCATGCTTGGCAGTACTTCCCAGTTCCCCCACGCCGTCCTTTTCTTGAAGCTTTCTGTTGCCTGCTTTGCTGATTGACATGGACATTACCCAAAACCCCAAATAACCAGGCTTTATGAGGCTCTAGCAACATGGTCAGCCTTGATGGATGGCATTGTTCATAGAGTTTATACAGGGATGAAAGGGTATACCTTAGGGGATATATTGGGATTATGGAAAACAAAAGGGAAACTACCATAGTATATAGGGGTTTAGGACAGTGCAGGCAGCCTGCCTGTGGTTGCTCAGTGGTGAAGTGGCCCAGGATACTGTCGAAAGCCTCGAGGTGGCGCCCTGCCTCTGAGCCTCCAAAAGGCATGCATATCCTTCTGCTCTATATACTTTAATAGTTTCCATTTTATCTTTCCACAATCCCAATATATCCCCAAATCCCGATAAAAATTTTATGTAATACATATAATTGGTGTGGAGGCTGGAGTTGCCCTCAGGCGGTGATTCGTGCGGGTTAAGGCAGTTCAACGGTAAATTCCTGCTTCGCCTGAGGTCATGCCTGCAAGTTTGATCTGGTAAGCAGCCTGCAGGGCTGAGAGAACTTCCCAAGGCAATTTGATGCCGCATCTGAGCATGCTGCGGGCATCACGTATTTGGACGAGTTCAGAATGCGCAGCAGGTCTCTTGGCAATATGCGCGGATTTGTGCTCCGCTGAACATCAAGATCATGCTGTTAGTGGGTTCACGGCACTTTTGGCTTTAGCTTTGGTAGCAAGACCGGGCAGTGCACACATCAAGGCGATCATCACTACTAAGAGGTATCAGCGGATATAGAAGCTATAGCAGAAGACCATCGCGAGGTAGCTGACAGAAAGCTAGGTCTCCCCATTGCTGGCCAAGCAACGGCTGACGTGATGCACCTTGCTGTAAGATTGCGAGCTGATCAGGTCGGTGATTGTCCGTTGTGGTCAGGATTGCAACTTACAGCAGGTGCGCCCGGATCGGGATAGATTGCCAAACAGACCACAAAGAACAAAGCTGGAAGCTTCATACTGCGAATCTCAAAGCTAGGCATGTGATGAAATGCTTGGCCGGAGAAGATGGGACTGCGGCTGACTGTCATTAACTTGTGTCGGAGCCACGCCCATCGCTCCCTCCAGCATCGATTTGGCAAGGTCATCATCGAAGCCCTCCTTAAACGCTGAGCTGACATGAGCTGACTGGGTCCGTTCAGTTTATATCACCTAGGCTTCGAACTAAACGGTCATTGCATGTTGACTTTTACTGCCTGCCTGAAGCGCCGTCTCAAAGACCCAACGCCAACGCTCACCCTCCTGTGGCTGCTGGCCATCAAGTGGTTTTGGGTTTGTTCATGCTTGATTTGCGGCTTATTGGGAGCAAAGGGAGGTGGTTAAGGTCCTTGGGCGGCCAGCAGGAAAGGGAATGGTGGAGTAGGGTGCTCTGGCTGTTCTCGGAGCTCCCAGCATGAGTTCACTATCGTCTTCTGCTCAACATCCTGGCTGGAATTGACAAGAGCAGTGTCACCAGCAATGCTGTTGGCCAATATAGAGCAGCAGCAACAGCTGCAGGAGCAGGAGGTACAACATAATGATCACGAAAGGAGGCACGCCGGCAAAACGCACATCATCAACATAGATAAGTCATATTTTTGCTTCCTGCACTTTGTGCGTGGAATCCCTGTAGCCAAGTTTACAGCTCGCGGTCCTCCACGGAAAGGTCCGAAAGCATCTCGGCGGAGTCTGCATCCACCTCGCAGCCAGCAAGTCCTGCCCCCAGGCCATGTAATAGTAATTAGTAGTAGTAGTAGTAGTAGTAGTAGTAGGCGCCCCCACCCCCTACCAACTATGTTTCCCAAATTGCGCATGCTGAAACCATGTAAAAACTGGGGAAATACTGGTTTTCGCGGAATGCC